ATATATATATATATATATATATATATATATATATATATTTTTTTTTTTTTTTTTTTTTATAGGTCTATCTTATTTTATTTATATCTTTTATTTTATTTATTTATTTTATTTTATTTTATCTATTGTATTTTATTTTATAGATTCTATTTTATCTGTTTTATTTAATACATTTTATTTGTATATTTTATTTATTTGTATATTTTATTTTATATATTTATTTTATTTTATTTATTTATTGTATTTTATTTATCTATTTTGTTTTATTTATTTATTGTATTTTATTTATCTATTGTATTTTTTATTTTATTTTATTCATCTGTTTTATTTTATTTATTTATTGTATTTTATTTATCTATTTATTTTATTTATTTATTGTATTTTATTTATTTATTGTATTTTATATATTCATTGTATTTTTCATTGTATTTTATAGATCTATTTTATTTTATTTATTTTATTTATCTATAGTGTTTTGTTTATCTATTGTATTTTATTTATCTTAAAAAAAAAAAAATTGTCCGAATAACGAGAAATGGTTTAATTAGCTGTTTTTTTTGTTTGTTTGTTTGTTATTGCTATTATTATTATTATTTATTTATTTATTATTATTATTATTATTATTATTATTATTATTATTATTTATTTATTATTATTATTATTGTTATTGTTATTGTTATTATTATTGTTATTATTATTGTTATTATTATTATTATTATTATTATTAATGATATTATTTTATTATTATTATTATTATTATTATTATTATTATTGTTATTGTTATTGTTATTGTTATTATTGTTATTATTATTATTTTATTATATTATTTTATTATTATTATTATTTTATTATTATTAATATTTTATTATTGTTATTGCTATTATTGTTATTATTATTATCATTATCATTATCATCATTATTATCGTTATCATCATTATTATTATTATCATCATTATTATCATTATCATCATTATTATTATTTTCGTTTACGAGGATGCATTAAAAAAAATGGTTGTCCGAATAAGGAGAGATGGTTGCCTGAGGTGCGAATAAGCGACGGATTCAGACATCGATTTGATTCATTTGTTCATTTAGCATTGTTATTATTATTATTTATTTATTATTATTATTATTATTTTTTGGGGGGGGTCGGTTTTGGGGGTCAGTTAATGAATTAGAGAGAAAAGAGAAGAGAAGAGAAAGAGAGAGAGAGAGAGAGAGAGAGAGAAAGAGAGAGAATAAAAATCTTTACTCTTGTTGTCCGGATAACGAGACAGTTGGCGAAGGTGCGAATAACGCCCCGCGGTTGTCCGGATAACAATAATTATGATAATAATAATAATGATGATAATAATAATGATAATGATAATAAGGATGAGGATAATAATAATGATGATAATGATAAAAAAAATAATAATGATGATGATGATGATAATGATGATAATGATAATGATTATAAAAGAAATAATAATGATAATAATGATGATAATGATAATGATGATAATGATGATGATAATGATAATAGTGATAATAATGATAATGATAATGATAATGATAATAATTTATAATAATGATAATAATGATAATGATAATAATGATAATAATGATAATAATGATGATAATGATAATAATGATAATAATGATAATAATGATAATGATAATGATAATAATGATAATGATAATGATAATGATAATAATGATAATGATAATGATAATGATAATAATGATGATGATAATAATGATGATGATGATGATGATGAGGATGATGATGATGATGATAATAATAATGATAACAATAATCTCATGGAAAAAAATGTTTATTACAGTTTTTATTTCATTTATTTATTGTTATTTATACTTTTATTTTTAATTGTTTCTTCTCATTAATTTATTACTATTAATTGTTGTTATTATCTTTTTATTAAGCTGACCTATTTACCTATTATACTGTCTTTATTTCAACTATTTACGCAGTTCGTTATCATTTATTTCCCAATTTTCCCAAATCTTTCTATCCCTATTTACTCATCTTTCACAATTTTCAAGTTTCTACATTTAGCCAATTTTTCCCCATTTGTTTTGCGTATCCGGATCGCTCTGTACCTATTTAAAGAGTTTCCCTAGCTACCCTATTCACTGCCCCCCCCTCCCAATTTTCCACCTTATTCACCAATTTCCCCAAATGTCACTCCCTATTTTCCCTCACCCCCCCCCCCCCCCAATTTTCACCTTGTTCACCAATTTCCCCAAATGTCACTCCCTATTTTCCCTCAGCCCCCCCCCCCATTTCCCCCATCCTCCCCCAATTTCCCCTCATCCAATTTGCCCCAATTTCACCTCATCCAATTTGCCCCAATTGCACCCATTTATTCCATTCAATTTCACTCTCCTAATTACCCCCAATTCCCCAATTATACCTAACTATTCACTCAATTGTTCCACCCAATTTCACTTCCCAATTCCACCCGATATCCCCATTTCACTCGATTTCTCTACTTCACCCCAATTTCCCTATTTTCACCCAATTTCCTTCCCTATTTTCCTATTTTCACCCAATTTCCTTCCCTATTTTCATCCAACTTTCCCCAATTTCACTCCCCATTCCCCCCCCCAGGCTGCGGGTGCCAGTACTCGCCCTTCGCCTGCTGCCCCGACGGCAAGACGCCCGCCAGCGGCCCCGACCTCGAGAAAGCCTGCGGGTGTGAGGCGTCGGCTTTCGGCTGCTGTCCCGACGGCGCCACGAAGGCGTCGGGGAGGCTCTTCGAAGGCTGCGAGGCCGGGCAGGTCGAGGTGCAGGTGCCGGGAGGTGAGTTCGAGGGGGAGGTTCGAGGGGGAGGTGCCTGGGTGTAAGTGGGAGGGAGGTAGGAGGAGGAGGAGGAGGAGGAGGAGGAGGAGGAAGTTAGAGGTTCGAGGGGGAGGTTCGAGGGGGAAGTTCGAGGGGGAGGTGCCTGGGTGTAAGTGGGAGGGAGGTAGGTGGAGGAGGAGGAGGAGGCTGAGGAGGCGGCTCTTCGAAGGCTGCGAGGCCGGGCAGGTCGAAGTGCAGGTGCCGGGAGGTGAGTTCGAGGAGGAGGTTCGAGGATGATGGAGGATGATGGAGATTGATATTCCATTGCACTTGATAGTCCCATTTCAAGTGCATCTCTTGCACCAGATCTTGCTCATGCAGATACTACAGGAACCGATCCAGACCCTGAAAGACATTGACATAGATATTGACAATGATATTGACTGCCGTGAGTGTTCAAGTGAACCAAATCGCTTTAACCAAGACGATCTGAGTGGAGTGATCCGTGATTTGAATCTTTCCAAAGAATCTGTCAAGTTGCTTGCTTCGTGTCTGAAGGAAAGAAATTTCCTGCAGCCCAAGACAAATGTGACATTCTACAGGAGCCGAGATGCCGAATTTCTTCCGTATTTCAAACACTACAAAGAAATTGTTGTCTGCACTGACGTAGAGTCTTTACTAAGGAAACTAGGTATTAACAATTATGACGAACTCTTGGCGCCTATTTATTGACAGTTCCAAGAGGAGTTTGAAATGTGTGTTGCTACGCGTCAATTTCCATAGGTCATTCGACTTCGCTGAAGGAGAAGTATGAACCAGTTAAACAAATTCTCGAATGCATAAAATACAACCAGCATAACTGGAAAATGTCTGTCGATCTGAAAATGGTTAATTTCCTGCCTGGATAGCAATCTGGTTATACAAAACATGCGTGCTTCTCGTGTATGTGGGACAGTCGCGCTAAAGAGAACCATTGGATTAAAAAGGCCTGGTGATAAAAGTATAATAAACGATCCCCTTGTACCCAGACACAGGATAATACCCCCCCCCCTCCTCTACACATAAAGCTGGGACTTATCAAGCAGTCAGGGAAAGCTCTAGATAAAGATGGAGAGTGCGTCAGGGACATTTGCCAATCGTTTCCTGGATCGAGTCTTGAGAAACTTAAAGCAGGGATCTTTAATGGACCTGATATACGAAAACTAATGCAAAATGTGAACTGTCTACCTTCCATGAATCCACTTGAAGCAGATGCATGACGGGGCTTTGTTTGAGTCGTACAGAACTTCATTGGTAATAGGAGACCCGCAAATTTTACAGAAATTGAACAAAGCATGTTAGATGCATATCAACGTCTTGGAGCTAACATGAGTATTTAAAGTGCAGTTCTTGCATAATCATCTTGACCACTTTCCTACCAATTGTGGTGATGTTAGTGATGAACAAGGTGAACGATTTCTACAAGATATTAACTCATTGCCGCCGGGTAAAATGAACAAAAAATGGGGGAAATGCAGTACTCATTTTTTATATTTTTGTGAAGTATCTCTGTCCATAGATGGCTCTGCTAGTCCTGATTTCACCTTTCCTTGAATGGGCGGGAAAAACGTATTTTCACTAGTGCTATAAATACAGATGATGTTATTTTTAACAGCAAATTAAGATAACGTTAAATATTTTCGTAAATCGACGAAAAGGGTGAACGGGCGAGACAGGCAGTACTCGTAATTGGCTCATTGGATACTTAGTACAAGTGTAGCCATCTAGGTGTAAAAACAATCGAACAAATCGACTCACAGTGGGCATGGCACGTACGTACATGCCATCCCCGGCGGCAATAGACAGGAGACGATAGACAGTAGACGATAGACAGTAGACGATAGACAGTAGACGATAGACAGTAGACGATAGACAGTAGACGATAGACAGTAGACGATAGACAGTAGACGATAGACAGTAGACGATAGACAGTAGACGATAGACAGTAGACGATAGACAGTAGACGATAGACAGTAGACGATAGACAGTAGACGATAGACAGTAGACGATAGACAGTAGACGATAGACAGTAGACAATAGACGATAGACAATAGACGATAGATAACAGATAATTAACTCCCCCTCCCCCCCCAGAGGTGTGCGGCCACGCCAATAACCGCGGGCTTTGCGGCAACTTAAAACAAAAAAAAAGAAATTGATAATAGACAATTAATTAACTCCCCCTCCCCCCATCTCCCCCCCCCATCCAGAGGTGTGCGGCCACGCCAATAACCGCGGGCTTTGCGGAAACTTCTGAAAAAAGACAATAGACAGTAGACGATAGACAATAGACAATAGACAATAGACGATAGATGATAGATGATAGACAATAGACGATAGATAACAGATAATCAACCCCTCTCCCCCCCCTCCCCCCCAGAGGTGTGCGGCCACGCCAATAACCGCGGGCCTTGTGGAAACTTAAAAAAAAAAAAAAGAAATTGATAATAGACAATAAACAATAAACAACAGACAATAGACGATAGATAACAGATAATCAACCCCTCTCCCCCTCCCCCCCCAGAGGTGTGCGGCCACGCCAAGGACCGCGGGCCTTGTGGGAACTTTACGGTCAAGTGGTACTTCGATATGGACTACGGCGGCTGCAACCGCTTCTGGTACGGGGGCTGCGAAGGGAACCTCAACCGCTTCGCTTCCCAAGAGGAGTGCGCGGCTGCCTGCGTCGAACCGGAGGGGAGAGGTGAGTGGTGTTTTTTTTGGGTGTTTTTGTCTCTCTGTCTCCTTTTCTGTCTCTTTTTGTCTCTTTTTGTCTCTTTTTGTCTCTCTCTCTCTCTCTCTCTCTCTCTCTCTCTCTCTCTCTCTCTCTCTCTCTCTCTCTCTCTCTCTCTCTCTCTCTCTCTCTCTCTCTCTCCCTTTCTCTCTCTCTCTTCTCTTCCTTTCTCTCTCTCTCTCTCTTCTCTTCCTTTCTCTCTCTCTCTCTCTTCTCTTCCTTTCTCTCTCTCTCTTCTCTTCCTTTCTCTCTCTCTCTTCTCTTCCTTTCTCTCTCTCTCTCTTCTCTTCCTTTCTCTCTCTCTCTTCTCTCCCTTTCTCTCTCTCTCTCTTCTCTTCCTTTCTCTCTCTCTCTTCTCTCCCTTTCTCTCTCTCTCTCTTCTCTTCCTTTCTCTCTCTCTCTCTCTCTTCTCTTCCTTTCTCTCTCTCTCTTCTCTTCCTTTCTCTCTCTCTCTCTTCTCTTCCTTTCTCTCTCTCTCTCTTCTCTTCCTTTCTCTCTCTCTCTTCTCTCCCTTTCTCTCTCTCTCTCTTCTCTTCCTTTCTCTCTCTCTCTTCTCTTCCTTTCTCTCTCTCTCTTCTCTTCCTTTCTCTCTCTCTCTTCTCTTCCTTTCTCTCTCTCTCTTCTCTTCCTTTCTCTCTCTCTCTTCTCTTCCTTTCTCTCTCTCTCTTCTCTTCCTTTCTCTCTCTCTCTTCTCTTCCTTTCTCTCTCTCTCTTCTCTCCCTTTCTCTCCCTCTCTTCTCTCCCTTTCTCTCTCTCTCTCTTCTCTCCCTTTCTCTCTCTCTCTCTTCTCTCCCTTTCTCTTTCTCATCTCTCTCTTTCTCTTTCTTTCTGTATCCGTCTTTCTGTTTCTGTCTCTGTTTCTTGCTGGTTATTTTTTATTTTTTTTTTTTCGTTTTCCCTGTTTTTCTGTTATTCTATTTTTTTTTCATCAATTTTTTGCTGTTTGTAAAAGAGAGAGAGAGAGAGAGAGAGAGAGAGAGAGAGAAAGAAAAAGAGATAGATAGAGAAAGAGATAGATAGAGAAAGAGAGAAAGAAAAAGAGATAGATAGAGAAAGAGAGAAAGAAAGAGATAGAGAGAGAAAGAGAGAAAGAAAAAGAGATAGAGAGAGAAAGAGAGAAAGAAAAAGAGATAGAGAGAGAAAGAGAGAAAGAAAAAGAGATAGAGAGAGAAAGAGAGAAAGAAAAAGAGATAGAGAGAGAAAGAGAGAAAGAAAGAGAGATAGAGAGAGAAAGAGAGAAAGAAAAAGAGATAGAGAGAGAAAGAAAAAGAGATAGAGAGAGAAAGAGAGAAAGAAAGAGATAGAGAAAGAGAGAAAGAGAGAAAGAAAAAGAGATAGAGAAAGAGAGAAAGAAAGAAGAGAGAGAGAGAGAGAAAGAGAGAAAGAAAAAAGAGAGAGAGAAAGAGAGAAAGAAAAAGAGATAGAGAGAGAAAGAGAGAGAGAAAAAGAGATAGAGAGAGAAAGAGAGAGAGAAAAAGAGATAGAGAGAGAGAGAGAAAGAAAGAGAGATAGAGAGAGAAAGAGAGAAAGAAAGAGAGATAGAGAGAGAAAGAGAGATAGAGAGAGAAAGAGAGAGAGAAAAGGAGATAAAGAGAGAAAGAGAGAGAGAAAAAGAGATAGAGAGAGAAAGAGAGAGAGAAAAAGAGATAGAGAGAAAGAGAGAAAGAAAAAGAGAGAGAGAGAAAGAGAGAAAGAAAAAGAGAGAGAGAGAGAAAGAGAGAAAGAAAAAGAGAGAGAGAGAAAGAGAGACAAAGAGAAAGAGAGACAAAGAGAAAGAGAGAAAGAGAGAAAGAAAAAGAGAGAGAGAGAGAAAGAGAGAAAGAAAAAGAGAGAGAGAGAAAGAGAGACAAAGAGAAAGAGAGAAAGAGAGAAAGAAAAAGAGAGAGAGAGAGAAAGAGAGAAAGAAAGAAAAAGAGAGAGAGAGAGAAAGAGAGAAAGAAAGAAAAAG